CTAAGCGTCAGAAGCGTTGTTCACAACCCAGAGGCAAAATACCGTTGGGTGAACTATCGTTCGATTTTGATTAGATGCAAATAGTTCACTAAGACCGGAGGGCCTCGGTGTTCCATTTGTACCGGAAAATTGCAGGCTTCTTCGCTTATGATCAATTACGAACGTTCCAGTTGCTTTAAAACTCACCACAGAAATTTGGGCCGTAATTTATTTTGTTTTACTGGAACTCATTTGGTTGTTCACAACGTGGACATTACAAAAATCATTGTTTAAGTGGTCGTTTAGCAGATTGGAGTCTTATGTTTAAATTGAGAAACATTCAGTAGCCTCAGTGGGATTCGAACCCATATATGGACGCCGCCTACGCCGTTTAGTACAGCGCAGAGGAACTACGTGGCCACACCGATAGCATTGATCGTTTTGCATTTGAATCGCCCATCCAACTTATAGAGGCATACGGCATCCACCAGCTCGCATTAGAGCCGACGAATGCTTTGTACATGATACGTATATCGCCGACCTTGTTTACCTTTTGTTTTGATTATTTTTATTTCATTCTGCGCGACGAACAATGTACATTTTTAACTGAAATGTAAGCATATATGCTTACAAAAGTTACAAATACAATACAATACAAAGACTATCATGACAGGTTTTCCCTAGAATTCACCGGGGTGAAAAGATCAATGCCATCGCGGTCGCTTCGTAGCTCAGCTGGTAGAGCGTGCGCTGTAGAAAACAGTAGGCGGCCATCCATGCGTAGGTTCGAATCCCACCAAGGTTTCAAAACGTTTCACACTTTCAACATGGTACAAAAATCAATTTTGTAGTAAAGAGCATGCTACCACGGTTTCAGATGAGCCCTTTGATCTTTTAACACTATTTTTTTCATGCCAATGGGATGCATTGTGTTGGTTGTAAACCACAACATTGCGCATTGCTTGACAGTTTATGTTAAGTCAACAAATGTGATTTTCGGTACTAAAAAGCGGCAGCGTAAGACTGAATATAACCTTCCAAAACATTGGCGTATGTGACTGGTTAATCACATGCATTTACTCCGCAGCTTAATCTGTGCTCTATCAAACTGTATGGTTTTGGTTGTTTTTGGTTACAATTAGATCATAATCAATCCCCAGGGGTTTTGTTTGTTTTCAAGTTGTCTGATTCCGTTTACCACAGTGCCACCCTGCAATGTATTTCCGTGGGCGAACCAGTTGAATTGCGTTTCACACACACACACACACTCACATACACACGCACTTACATACACACACACACTCATATACACACTCACGTGTCTAGTTTCATTTTCACTCAGACATTATCACTGGATTGGCCCCGTCAGAAAACTGTGATTATTTTTGTTTTGGGGTGGGATGGAGTAGGATGAAAGTTTCACTGAGATAGGTTTTGTGTTGCACTCAAACAAACTCCTTGAGATGTGACAATTTTGTCAACGTATTTCGAGAACAGGATATCACACTGCGAATTTCGTAGCATTCAGGGGATTAGTTTCAGGATTCGTAAAAATGTTTGTGATATATATATATATATATATATATATATATATATATATATATATATATATATA